TTACCTACAACCAAAAGAACACATTCCAGTAGCGATTCATTTCTTTTTTATCTTCATCGCAAAATCCTGTTGTGGCTCCTTAGTTAATCTGAACACATGCAATTTCACTGTTAACCCTAAAAGCAAGTCCTGACCCTCAAACAACCATTTGAGGGTATTGTATTTGAGAAAGTGCAGACTGGTGAAAATGTCCTCACTTTCCCAAAATGTCCACACTCTCATGACAGAAAACGCAAACTGGTCCTCACAATGTAAAGCCATATACTCAGACAAGTGAGAGGAAGATTTCCCCTGAGTTACATGATAGTTCTCTGACAGAAAAGTATGTTTTACTGGGGAAACAAAAAAGTAGGAATAGAAGTATCCTACTGAAAAGACAACTAAAAGTGTAGAAGTGCTGTATAGCAGGTATTCAGATGATATGTTTATACAAACGATATACCTTGATATAATTTTTTAAACAGTGTTTTCTGTAAAAACAAATACAAAAACAAATGAATAAAAGTTATGTTTACATTTTGTGTTACTCACTCTTAATAAATGTGTTAAGTTCCTCTCTCATTAAAACATCTAAATACTTTTTTTCCTAGGAATAGCTTGAAACCAACGGCATGATGGGAATCATGGCATCTCAGTGTGTGTGTCCTCGCGCATGAAACAGATGAAATAAGGACCCACTCATAAAAACTGCTCCACCTTTAACCAAGTAGTTTTTAGTAACCAAAACCTTTCAAGAAAGGTGAAGAAGCACTTTTGTAAAAGTCATTGGTAAAGTTTTTAACATACAATCTTCCTGAAAAAACAAGAAAAAAGACTTTGTATGAAGCCATAGTTCTGACCAATCACACGACAGAGAGAGAGAGTGACTCCATACACAGCTACTAACATATGGGAAGACAGTTCAAGGAAAATGTTGATTTTTGTTCATGCTGAGCCCAGCTGTAATGAAAATATTGTAAGTAGAGCTGAACCAAAATGGCAAATAACATGAGAGTGAGCAAACAGAGAGTGGGGAGAAAGATGGAATGGGGGTGGGGGGTAGAAGAAAAACAGGAGAGCTGTTGCCACAGGAGCGGCTTCATAAAAACACACAGCCGGCTTTCCTGTCCAATTCGCCAAATTACTGATGACCGACTCAGCCCCTGAAAAGAAGAAGTAGGGTGAGGTAAATGGAGTGTGTGTGTGTGTGTGTGTGTGTCTCTCATCTTATTTACCAGCTTAAACAAGATCTCTCTGTCAGATACGCTCACACACACTCACCAGCCAAAGTCAGTCCTCTGAAATATTTACCAGCCTCATGTGGGGAAATCTCTAAGGATTATCTCCAATAACCTGTTTAACTTAATCCTTATCTCACACATGTGAATAATAAATCTCTCCCCCACGCTCTGTCTCTTTCGCTCTCTTTGAGAAGGGCTCAGAAGTAACGCCTCTCACCTTACTCTCCGTCACCCTCCCTCTCCTCTTCACTCACACACTCACTCCATCTGCTTTATGAGCTGGCTACGTTCTCTGCCTCTCCGAGTGTCTTTGAGCTATTTTGACATATGTGCTCCCTCTCTGCTTCCCTGTCTTTCCACCAGTTCCATACCTCTTTCTCTCTCTGCTTTCCCTTCCCAGATAGGAAAATAAGTGCTAGCAGGGTGCGCCAGCGAAGAGGACTGACCATAATAACAGGAAGAGGAAGTGGGCAGTGACCTGTATGAGCGAGGGCTGAGGTCGGACAGCTGTGGTTCAACACTTCTAGCTGCTGGATGCAAAAGCCACATCAGAGGCGGCAGGAAGAGAAAGAGCAAGAGAGGTTCAAAACCTGTTGGAATCTCACCTGAGGAAAAACCTTGACAACCTGAGAAGAAAAAACAAGGCAATAAAGACTTGGAGTTTTTAGTTCTTTGAGAAAAAAATACAGAAGAAGAGGCTGTTAAAGTGATGTCTCAGCCTTCACCTGCTGAGTGAACTCTGGTTTCTATTCTTCAATTTGTTGAGTCTCTGAGAGTCTGACAGTCTGTCTTTGGAAACCCAGCTCTGGGATACATTCTCATTCAAGAAGCATCACCTAATACTTCATCATCACAGACTTCATTCTGTTTATCTGTTCCACAATCCGGAGAAGGATTTACACAGAATCCTGGTGAAAGCCAAGCAGAAAGAGAAATCCCTGCCAGTAGAACAACACCTGCTGCTCGCTTTCTACATCAGAAAAACCAGCTGACAAAAGAGAAGAGTGAGGAAGAGGAATGCAGTGGTGGAATCAGTAGGTGGTTTTACCCTCTGTTCAGCTTATAACCACCTACCAGCTGCTAATTTCTCCCACATACCTGCAAAATTAATAAAGTATCAGAGCTTGAGTGAGCAAGAGAACATCCTGAAGGATTTGGGCTTCATTTTGTACCAAAAGAAGGGTCTGATCAGCAGTTAAGATTTTACTTGGCTTGGAGCATCCACCTTTGTGGTAAGTTTTCTGTTTTTATCTTAAAGTTGGAAATATTGTAAGAGACAGAATGACTGTACAGGCATGCTATGTGTGTGTGTGTTGTATTTAGAGAACGTGTGTGTGTGTGTGTGTGCACGCGCTTGTATGAACACAAGCTTTCCTGTTCAGCAAATGTGATGGCAAAGCAATGTACGGCAGCAGAAAATGAAACCCAGATCCCCTGAAAACATTCCAGGTTTTTCCACACTTCCCCAGTCACTCCAGGGTGAAACTCTCATGAATACCAGTCAAACTGTCTTGAAGACGGTACATAAATAACTTGAAATGATGGTTATAAACCTGTTTAAGACAGGCTGTCATCCCTTGTCACTGTTCACATACATTATTCCAGTATCTCAGACAGCGCAGTGTAGAATTGAATGCTGTAATTGAGCTCTGTTCCCCCCCGGAGGCTGGACTGTCATTCCTAAAGACAGACAGCTGGGGCCATTAAGACGATACAGGATGATCTGTGGACAGAGCAGGAACAAATTCACAAAACTAAATCCACCAGGAGGTCTTCAGCTGGCCATGGTGAAAACTTCCACATTAAAATAGAAAACTATTTTTTAATCCCAACTGTCAAGTTTATGTCAGGTTAGTGTGGTTATCAAGTATTGATGCCGCACATTTAATATTCCAAAGCAGCGAAGATCTTGTCATTTAACTGGTGTCATTTTGTCAGCTGAAGATTTCCCTGTTATACAGTTGTTTAAGATCTCATTTATCAATCATTTATGCCAAACAGTACCTGAAGACAGTATCAGCTTCATTTAACCACCTAATTTTGTGAAGAGAGCTTTTTTTGAGACCCTGCTTTAGAGGTTACTCTTGTTGCTGTTGCCCTGGATTCCACTGCTCGTAAAGTGTCTGTTATTTTTTGTAGCCTGTGTATGTGGGAATAGTTACTTGGTAATTGTGGATCCGGATCCATGGCCCAGAGTGACAGAGGTGATTTGATTTGGTTGTTATTTCGAAAGTCGTTGTTGAAACTAAACTCAGTGGTCTAATTCCTAGATAGGGAACTATCAGGGAAAATCCTCTGGGTACCATCTGGAGACTTCACCCTCTCTCTCCCACACAAGATTCATGATTAGAGCCATTCATTCATTCAGATATATGTCAGAGTGGTTGACAAGCTGTCCAGCTGTGGGGATGTTGGCTCAGCTGAAGTCACTGATTACTACTGAAAGTCCCAGTTACAGTTTTATTTTCAGCAACTGACTTGTTGATTCTATGTTTTACATAATATACCACAATTCATTTTGTATTATTTGCATTGTTTATATTGTAATACTCTCCGTTCCAGAACCATTACAATATTATATTTTACTTTGAATCAGCTTCCCTTTTTGTAGTAGCGGTATATATAGTCGATTTCAAATAATTTTTCATTTCCCATCCTCATCAATCCATTCATAGCGATAGGATGTATAAACATTTTTAAAAATATTAATATTAACATTTCAGATGGCAACAACTTGAAATGTGTAAGTGCATTACAACTTAATACTTGTACTTGAAGGCTAACCTGATTGGTCCACAGTTCTACAGGATGGATTTCTGAGAAGTATTCAGGAATAAACTGAAATACTTCAACAATATTTACATTAATTCGTTGGTCATTCAGAATAGGTTTTATGTGGACAAGAAATCAGGTCACATGGCTACACTGCATTAGCATGTCCAGTCTTTGGGGGGCTGTAGTTGGATATTTTACATTTAGCAAAGATGAGACTGACAGCAGAGCCAAAACCAACACACAAAACATATTAAGCTTTATATTATTTTCAGATGACTGTTGGACATTACTGTCAGATTTAAAACAGGCTGCCATCATTCCAGTTTTACTGCACAACTTTGATTTTCTGACTGTGAAAGGCAATAGAATTAACTGGAAAGTGCTTGAATACCATCGGAGCATGAATATGGTCGGTGACACTATAGAGGGTTAGTGAGGACATTGTGCATGTGTGTCTATATGTGTGTGAGTGTAGTAGTGGCTCCTGACAGACAGATTGTTAGAAGCTTCTTTATGATTACATCTATCTTAACAACAGATACACACTACACTGTTCACCAGTCAAACATCCCACATTGGAGACTGTAAAAACACTTTCTACAGGCTGACACATAAATATATTTTTAAAAACTCCTGACTTTAGGTTAGTAAATGTAAAGTAAGATAAACTGTGTCAGAAGGCACCGTTTTGACACAGACTTTTATATAACAAGATTTAAAGACTGAACACTGTCTAGTGCTCACAGAGGCTGGTGTGTTTGTAAGAAAGTATCAGACAAAATGAACATGACAGTCGTGGTTTCCTTTGTTCTTGTAGCCTTACTAGATGCAGGGCTAAACTGTCTACAGAGGCACTAGCAAAGAGGAGAGAATTAACCAATGCATGGCAGCTAGCCCGCTCCATCATGGTGCAGGCTAACTTATGGGCAAGTAAACATTTTCAGGTAAGGGCGGTGCAACAGACAGGGTCATATGATCATCAAATTATCCAGGGTTCATCCACTGGGGACCACAATTAAACCGAACTGCAATCAAGCCAGTAGATATCTTCTTTAAAAAAAAACATGTTGATGTTTTGGTTAAAGGGTGGCACTTCTGTGCACCTGTGTCCAGAATTGTAGAGGTTCACCATCTGGGAAGCATGAAGAAACTCAATTTGGTTATTTCATGTGTAAAGCTGGATACTGTGGCCTCAACATGTTGATAGAGGTAAGATCTCGTGGTCATCAGCAAACTCTTTAGGACTATCCTCTGAGGTTTCTCATGAAAGTTTTTGAGATATTTTGTTTGGACCAATGTGTTGAACAGTTGGCTTGACTTACTAACTGATGGACACTTATTCAGGGGTCTAGTGCATCAACACTACTTTCTTTTTATTAAGTAAAAGCACAGCGGCATTGTCCATCTCATCAGTGTCATCTTCAGTTGACACAAAATGACAGGTACTGTACAGTTAACGTTCCTCGTGTCAGTCTGTCAAATGCTGAATGTCCATTTAAGAGCGGAATCTGTAACTTGACTTACAACAGCATTTATATACTGCATGCATCAGTTAATTAATGTATGTGTCCAAATCAACCAGACATATTTAAATACCTTAAAAACTGGACAGTGTGGCAATAATCAGAAGATCAAATCAATGCCTGGCCCTCATTTTGATATCATTATACAAATATATATCATGGTTATATATTTAAATTGTTGTGCCCTGGTTTCACCATGAGCCACCACATTTCATGATATGATGCATGATATACAGGCAATTACAGATGGACCAAAGGAGAGGCAGATTTCATTATTCACAACAACTTCAAATTATGTTTCAATCTTAAAAGCACAGAAACAATGCAACAAAACTTGTGCATAAACTTCAGCGACCGCCAGGATTATGAAGTCGTTTTGATTTGTTTCTCTGCTTTAGCCTTTGGTAGACTGAAACTAGGTCAGACCTGTCTGCCAGTCACAAAACATCCCAGAAAATGACAACTGTATCTGTGCGTTTGTCTGTTTCTGCTTCACCGTCACACTCGCACTCTCTTGCCTGCAGACAATGTACAGATGTAATTACAGATATTCCTGGATGTTATTTATTCTTCATGCCTCTGAAAGATGCCTTTGATAACTGATGCCATAAATAACTTTTACGTATAATTCTGAAGTGAAATTTAATGCTTACAGCTGAGAGAAAATTTTTAAAAATGTTTTTTATAAGATCAACAGCTACCAGGATAAATAAAAATGACAGGTATATAACAATCTAAATTGTATTTCTGTGTTATCTTCTTGAACATTTACAGGACTCCTGTCACTCTCTATATCCTCTACTCATTTAAAAGTTACAGTAAAAACTTCAAAAGTAAATTGGTGTTAAATTATTATTTTAAAAAGCTGTTACACTGGTTGTGTTGATATGTTTATTCTCCAAACCATCTTTGAAGGTGTTAAATATGCTTTTAAGGTGAGGTATAAAGAGTGGTAGGGATGAAAAGGAGGAGAGGGGAAGATGAAAAGGTGAAGCAAGTAACAAAGGAGGGATGATAAACAAGAGACAGAAATAGACTGTGAAAAACAAGAAGCAGTTTTCACTTTGAGACATTCAACAAAAGACAGAAGGGGACAAATTTCTGAGGAAAATGTGACTGAAAGAACTAACAAGAATGAGATTGAGAAATTTAAAAAAAGCAAGTCGAAGGAAGTGAGAAGCATAAAGTGAGAGAGAAACAAGAAGCAGGGTGACAGAGATACCAAAACAATGAATGGGAAAACAAGAAGTGTGACACATAGGGAGACTCGGGGACATGTCTGAGACAGTCACAGTCAGCAGCAGCAGCTGAATACCAGGAAGGGTGTGTCCACTCACTAATGATGACCCTTCATTAACAGGCCTGACGGCATTTCCCAGAAGGCATTGTGTTTAGACTTCCTGTTGCTGATAAAAGGGGAGGACTAAGATGCTGACCTTTGAAGGAGGAAATGCTGTTTTAAAAAATGCCCCCAACTGATTTGCCATCACAGAAATAACTTGAGTGTGTGTGTGGAATCCAATCATAGCATGTTATTGTGTGTGTGAGTAACATTTTATATATATGTGACAGCGAGGAAAAGTCAAGCTGGGTTCTGAGTCAAGCCTCGTGTGCATTTTGTTCATAATACAAAAATATTTTTCTATAACATTGGAGGACAGCTATTGGGGGCAGCTGTGGTGAGGGAGGTAGCGCAGGTCGTCTCCTAATCGAAGGCTTGGCAGTTCGATTCCTGGCTCCTCCAACCTGTGTGCTGTAGTGTCCTTGAGGAAGCCACTGAGACATCACCAGTGTGAGTGTATTACCGGTGCCAGGCTGGGGTGACAAGCTGGTCGGTTATCTATTGTGTCTCACCCGATGGACTGAGCAGACCCTGCACCGGCAGTAAAAACAATAATGAAAAATGGGAAAACAAATGGATGCACATGAAGTTACTGAGTGAAACAAAGTCATAAAAATAATGGTTAGTAGCAAGTGAGATTGAAGAATTTGGAAGCTAAATAGTTTCTCATTGCTACTGAGTTTTAATCTAGTTATGATCACTTTCTATTTATTGCAAAGTAACAACGTCTACCAATGTCAACATGCATTGATGAGGAAAAATAAACTGAAAAGGTCAAAAAATCCAGCAGCACTTGCAGCGTATATAACTTTATTAAAATGGTCTTATACTTGTATAGCGCCTTTCTATGCTTTTTACAGCACACTCAAAGCGCTTTCACATTATTCGGCCATTCACACTCCCAAACCGGTGACATCAACGGGAGCAACTGGGGGTTCAGTGTTTTGCTCAAGGACACCTCGACATGTTGACTGGACAAGCCGAGAATCGAACCGCTAATCCTCCGGTTAGGAAACGACCCGCTCTACCTCCTGAGCCACAGCCGCCCAAAAGACCAAAGTGTTTCAGCTTGTGGTCATCTTTCTATTTATTTCCAGCCTATGGGGCCTCAGATATGGGAATCCACAATCAGAAAAAAAAAAACTGACATTTAATAGCACGTCTATTAGCAACTACTCACAATTCCATTCAGAAGTGCACAGTGAAAGCTTTATAATTAATTTAATTAACGGTTTAATTAATTTAGTCGGGAAGAAATTCAAACAATGAAAAACACAAGAGGGCAAACAAAACCCAAACAAAAGATATGAGCCAAAAAACACAGTTTAGTCTTTATTTGAGCTGATTTGAAGGGAGCTGTGTGAAGAGGTCAAGGGAGGTCAGCAGAATACGACATTAGGCCATTAGAGGGAGACGACTTTGTGTCGGTATAATCCCTTGATCGTAATCTCTTTCTCCCTCCCTGCCACTAATGGCTGGAAGACAATAAAATGCACTAATCTGTCTGCTGGGATGGCACAAGGCTGTGCTGAGATATCTGCTGGAGTACAGAGCACACATAAACTAAAATGTTTTGAAGATTATTTCGGTGACATTTCTGCTTTATTAGATAGAGCCCAGTGGAAGAAGACGGGGGTGGTGGGGAAGACAGAAAGACAGACAGCCTGAACGAATGGGAGGACTAGTGTTTGTGTGCCTTATATGCTACATCTTTAGTTTGGTTGCATAGCACTCAAAAGGCTTGCAGGCAGAAGCAACTGATGCAAGACAGCGAAACATCTTCCAACTCGTAATAGGCCAAAAACCATAAATCAGATGAGGCGCCAGTTTGGTTTAAACTGAAAAGAAATTCCACCAAATTTAAGCCTTAATATGAGTGATTATTTTGGTTTCCAATACTGAATTGGCACAAATTTAGCAGGAGGCATATTTTCCTTGTCCCCAGAGAAAGAATCCACTAATGTGCCAGCAGACTCTTAATCTTCTCTTGCTGTTTCTCTGATGGGAAAGAGCTGTGCCTTAAACCAGGGGGCCACAGTGCTACAATACAGATACAGGTGAGACGATGGTAACCACTTGTTTTTCTCGATATGTTTTGACGGTGTAAGAACAGAGGGTGTCATATGCTGTACACAATGTAAAGCCCCTAGAGGCAAATTTGAGATTGGTGATATCATGCTACAGGACATAAATAAAAATGGACTTGACTTTGGTAATGAATCCATAACTTTAAATGCCAACTGTATGTAATGCCAAAACCCTGCACAGCAGTTTCTCTGACTCTGTTGTGGGTGTTTACAAATCATGTATGACACTTAGATTTATCCTCCATCTTAATGACCTAAAACTAAAAGTAAAGTATCAAGAGTGCTTGTTTGCAGTTATTTACTTTGGCCAGTGTGGTGCAGTCTGTTGCCTGAAAGTGTTGCATTACGTCATGGTAAAAGTTGATTTGTAGCATGACTGCATGTGTTTTCTGAAGGCCTATCTGTTGGGGCCCCTGTCATGGAAACACAGTTGTCTTATAGAAGGAAATGAGGCGTATATAGTTTCTTCTATATTGGATTTGAATCAAAAATTGGTATCAACCACACACAGCCAAAGTCTTTGCTGTGTTATACTCTAACACTGTCTTGTGTCACAATTTGACATGCTGTATTAAAGAGGAAAAAAAAAGAGCAATCAAAAATCCAAAATGTCAAACAGTCCCTTTAGGAGAAATGGACATTTTAATAGCCGATAACAACCAATATCTTAGGTGGTATTAATGTCAACTCCTCTCTCCATCTCTGTCTGTTTCTCTCATGTTGCAGCAGTGGGTCAGGGCCTAAAATGGGTCACAGGCCTATGTTTAATAGATCCCCCTATGGCTGTAGTAGTGACACGCTTTCAGCCCAGGTCCCATAGTGAGAGGCTAAATGTTTCATTTGGGTCCCAGGCTGGAAAGGTTTAAAGCCCTGGTCCAAATTGATAGCTCAGTGGTGGACTGTAAGGGGACAGAGAGCTCTTGGCCTTGACTCTGAGTCTCACCCTGGCACAGGGAAGGGGTCTGCCCATGGCTGATAAATGGTTTTAATGTGATCCCCTCTCTCTTTTTCTGCTTCTCCTCTCTCATTTCCTTCCCCTTCACATCCTCTCTGCACTCCCACATCTCTTATTCTTGTCTCGCCTCTTTCTTCTCCCACCCCTTTTAGCACTTTCTTCCTATCACTTACTGTTCTAGATGATGACTTGTCTCCAGCTGTGGACTGCAGGGCTTATGGCCACTCTGGTCTTGTCCATCTCTCTCATCATTGCTGAAGACTCTGGCCTTCCTGTGGTGGAAGGAAGCCCCGTTGAGATTGTAAAGAAGGAGACCCATCCCATCCTGTTCCGGCAAAAGAGAGCGTGGATCTGGAACTCTCTCTACGTGGAAGAGGAGAAACCTGCACCTATCCCCTACAAGATAGGACAGGTAGCTTAGCGTCAGCATTTTGAACTCACTACCCAAAGCTCACAACAAAAACAATCACACAAGGATCCTACTTCTATAGTTTAGTCTTTAAATGTCCAATATTCTCCTATCCTACTTCTATAGTTTAGTCTTTAAAAGTCCAATATTCTCCTTGCCATGGCTGTTTGATGTAAAGGCATAAAGTTATTATTGTCACTTCCATTCAGCCTAACGCTGTAGGATGCCAAGAATCTAGGACATTGACGCGTTGCTAACTAGCTCTTAGATAAACATCTGAGCGAGTTTGCCAGAATACTCTATCTATTTGTAGAAATCTGCTGGAAGCTTGTTGAGTCCTCACTCCAGCTGGGAAAATACTGAATGTTAAAGAAAACTATGAGACAGTCAACCCTATTATTTTTTCTTTCCTAGTTGAAGTCAAGCCAGAAAGTGGAGGTGAAGAGCTTTAAAATTGAAGGCGAAGGAGCAAACACCATCTTCACTGTGGATGACAAAGGAGACCTGTTTGTTACCAGATCTCTGGACAGAGAGGAGAAGAGTGCATACCGTCTGACTGCCAGAATGTATGATGGAAATAAGAAGGTGATAGAGGACGCTGGAGACTTCATTGTCCAAGTGACAGACATCAATGACAACAGCCCTGTTTTCCCCAGAACATACAATGGATCCATTATGGAGAGGTCCATGATAGGTGAGTAGGGTCACTATTAAATAATCATTAGAAAAATACATCAGCTGTTGGGTTGAAAAGCTGCTTGATGGGAGTCAAATGTAAATGTATTTGTAAAGTACATTATAACATACAGTATTTTAAATGAACTTTAAAGGCCAACGTAAGTTTATTTAAATATTTATAAGAAGACAAGAAAAAAGGACACATCATGTGCAAAGCTGATAAAAATCTTATAGGACACATTTATAGTTCTGCAAGTGACATTTGCTACCCAGTGATCATTTAGATTTAAAATAGACTGGACTGTGAAAAGTCAGGTAAAAATTAAATACAGTCTTAACACCTGTTGCAATCATTAGCAAGCACACCCTTTAGTGCATGAAGAGACATTAAATAACAGTCTTCACACATCATGAAGGAACTAAAGTAGTTGAGGTGAGGGCAACCGATGCTGATGACCCCACCACTGCAAATGGAGAGGTCAGGTATTCGTTAACTCAAGACGGAGACCTTTCTGCCTTTGAAATCAACAGCATCACAGGTATGTTAAACATTTCAAGCCCAGCAGCCTAGGCCTATAGCAGAATAACTAAGGGAAGGCTCGGGGTCGCCTGAACCTAACCTAACTAGAAGCTTTATCAAAAAGGAAAGCCTTAAGTCGGATCTTAAAAGTAGACTGTTATCCTGCAGAAACATCACTTTTTCTTCCTTAACAAGTCAGTTAGAGGAGCTGTAGAAGCACAAGCTATTTTTACTTGAACGTGAGTCAGAGCTGACCTCAAAGATGACACCTTGCTTGTCTCTCTCTGCAGGCATTATCAGCTGCAAGACAAACAATCTGGACCGGGAAACCAAGAGTCAGTATGTGGTGGTGGTAAAAGCTCAGGACATGAGAGGAATAGCTTCTGGCAGCACAGCCACCACCTCTGTTACCATCACCATCACAGACATCAACGACAACATAGCTTCTTTCACTCGAAGTAAGGAACAGTGCTGATTAATGATGATTAATGATTAATAAATACTTTAGAAATAAAAGTTCTAATCCTTCACTTTTTTAGGCACATTACAAAGAGAAGATTCCTAATAATAATTGTAACACTTTGTTCTTATTTTTAAGATTGGTGTTTATTCTACTATATTAAAGAATCTACTGTAAATGTCTTATGTAACCAGAAGTGCTCCTGATGTGTGTTTTCTCTCTGCAGCAACATATGAACTACAGGTTCCAGAGAACCACAAGTTGAATGAGAAGATCGGCACTCTGGTGCTGGAGGACCGAGATCAGCCTCAGAACAAAGAACCTATTTTTACCCTTCCAAAAGAACACACCAACATGTTTTATATTGACATCAGCTCTACCAAGGATGGCACCCTCAAGCTCAAACAGGTAACAGGTGGCAATGAATGAAGTGACAATACATCAAGCCTCAAACTTTATTTCTACTTTTACTTAATTGGCTGCCATGTTAGCTGTCTGCATTCTTTGATACTGAGTAGAGCAGTGGTTCCCATCCATTTTTGTCCCATATACTCTGACAGCTCTATTCGATGGGCTCAAATACCTCTTCATTTTACTGCTTCAAAAGATGTGGTGGCTTCATAGAATTACTGGATAGTGTTTCACTACAAAGAAGAAGAATGTGGTGAATTCTTGGTATATGTGAATTCATACAAGACCTAGAATTGCTCACATATAGGTGTTGTGTCTGTCTTCCTTTTTTCAATAATCATGTTTGTGTCTCACCTCTTCGACTACCACTGGAAATGATTAGTTTAGCTTTTGTTTGGCTCATTTCTAGCTAGTTTTCACATCCTCTCAGCTGCAACACTTGGGATTAAGGTGTCCCAACCATCCTACCATAGGGGTAGGTTTTTCAGATAATATACTAAAGATTGACGTCTCAGCAACATGTTGTCCTACTTCTATTTTACTGTATGTCCAAATAAAACCAGCTAAGGGTAGAGAGCATAAGGATCATTGCTAAATGTCAACAATAATGCAGTGACATTTTCAAAATTGTGTTTTGGTTATGATTCCTTACACGCCACCCAGAAAAAGAAAAAATGTAATGTAAAAAGTGATATTTTGCAGCAAACACCAGAGCCCTGGCTTACATCTGGTTAGGAAAGATATTTATGCTTGCAGGAATTCTAGCAGGTTTATTTGACTGTTTTGTGCTCTTAAGATAAAGTAATTAGTAAATCATAAAGCTGAATGTGTTCTGATGAAATAGGCTCTGTAATAATTTGTACCCATGCTGGTTTGGAATCAAATCACACAACATTCTTCTCTCTGCTCAGCTTGTCCCCCGGCTCTGCAGTCCTTCTCATTTCTCTCACCAGCTGTGTTTACACACACAGAGTAAGCTAAATGTCGGCCATACTGTGTTAACGTCTTATCCTTGTTAAGCTGTTTAAACCTGCCTCTGACACTCTGTGACTGAGTACCCATGTTATCGTGAATAATCCATTTAGCAGAATATTCCTGTCTACCTGTGGTGTCTCATCCATAGATGAAACCATCTGCCAGTAACTGAACAGCAGGCTATATCTAATACAGGGGAAAGAAATGATAATTCCAGCAGAAATGTGACAGTAAGCACTGTTTGCTGCCATATATTTGTTGACATGAAAGCATATCCATAACACTGAGCAAGTCTCAGGCTTTTCAGATGGTGAAAAGGCAGAAGGACTGAGGTGTTTCTACAAGGAGGAAAAAGTTGGCATTCTGCTGTGTCTTTTAAACAGAGTCTGAATTTAACACAGTTGTTTCAAGTGAGGCTGGCACATTTAGAGCCTTTTCAGACTTCAACAGCTGTCACTGGTGACCAGACGCAGGTGTAAATGGAGGACGAAGATAAGACATGAACATAAAAACTAAAAGCACAAGTGCAAAGTGCCCCCAGTCCAAAACAGAACATATGTGAATATTTTCACTCTCGAGGATCAATCCACATGTGGTACATTAACTTTATCAGTGACATGAAGTGTTATTAATCAAAAACACTGTAAGACATTAAAGTTAGGCCTCAAAAGCATCACTGTAATGAGGGAAAGTTATGCTGAATGCTGCATTTTGGTTGAATAATAAAGAAGTGCAGGATCTGTGTTTCTGAGAAGCACTGTAGTAACTACAGGAGTTTAAATATAGCCCAGCTGTATCAGAGCTAGACAACATGAATACAAGCTGTGTATTAAGATAAAAACTAGACTTTAGGTGTGTAATCAAGTTTAATGCTCTTTTGGAAACTACAAAACAGCTATTGTTTGACATATTGTAACCTCTTCTGTCTCGTTGGCTCCACTTTTGTGGCTCAACTCCCCTTGAGAATAACTCACAATAGATCATTTCTGCTCAACAGATAATCACATCCTGATCTCATCAGTACAATTTTTTTACTTCCTTCCCCAGGCCTTAGACTATGAGACAACCAACAGCTACTCTTTTGTTGTGGAAGTGCGAGAGAACCTAAGAGCTCTGCATTCTCCTCCTGACAATGTGAACAGCGCGCTCACCTCAGCAAAGGTAACTATAAGACAGGCCTTACAGTCTTACAGCCTTCCTCCAGGGACATTATCACCCTGCTTCTCATCAACTTTTGACTAAAAACTGGACAAGAAGTGAAAGCATTGGACTTTAGAAGCAAACTCATTGTGAACTCAACTGATTATGAGGGCAGAAATATACACTACAGCTTCAGTGGTCTGGAAATAGTGTTATCAGTGTGATTTGTTAGTAAGGTCACTGGCAGATGTACATCTTCCAGAGGTTAATTTGACTCAGAGATAGTAGATTTAAATCTGGTAAATGTCTTTTTCTTTATGTAAATAGTATATTCTATAAGCATAAGTGAAGAGCCCCAGCTCCCGACCAAAGAGCTGCTCAATCCTCAGCTCACCCAATCAATCAGTGCCAGAATGAGCCTGAAACGTGGAATTGTAAAGAAAAAGAAGTCCAACAATCCTAGTTTATGTGTATGAATTGCTGACTTTAATCTGTTACCAATCATTTAAAATTAACAGGTAATCATCAAGGTGTTAGATGTAGATGAACCACCCGTCTTCTCCAAGCCCAAATATATGTTCACTGTGGTGGAAGAACAGATTGTAGAAAACATAGGAACAGTCACAGCCAGAGATCCTGACAGAGCCAACAAGAACATACGGTACAATGCTATGCACACTCCCCAGAATAACTCATATCCTTTCTAATCCTGCATAGAGACTGTTACACTGATCGCTCACTATCTCTGTGTAGGTACGCCATATTAGACAGGGACTGTCCTATCGGAATCAACCCACAGACAGGTCAGCTGCGCAGCCAGAGGACCATGGACAGAGAACTGGAGCCCACTTACTTGTGTCAAGTTAAGGCACAAGAGCAGCCAAATGGTATCCCCACCCACACACACACAGAAGTATTGCATGGGTTCATAAATCCTGTTTCCTTTAAACAATAGATCCTCACATTAAAAAAAAAATCTGAAAGTGTTTTCTCTAACAGTGCTAATGAGCATACAGGGATGGAGTTAGAAAAGTCAAAACAGACACTGTGTTCTCTTATTGTTCACCGAGCAGCCTGTCTGGTTTTATTGAGGGATGGGTGGAACATGTGTGTGTAGATTTAAGACACCGCCATAACACCTGGTCGACCCACACAGGGAGGAGAGAGTAAGCAGAAAAATCACATTAGTGGGTCTCTTTGTTCACTTGCAGCTTCCTAATCAAACTCTATATTTTTAGACGAGCAATGAATGAAATCCATAGATCTATTTTAGTGGCTCTGTCATGACGTTTAAGGAACATAATGGTCGCCTGGGCTTGACAAGGTCCTCGATATACAGCACATGTAGCATACTAAAGATAGTACAAGATGTCAGTGCAAGAGACAGAAAGCAAACAAACCCGCACATTTATCAAAAGATGACAAAAACTGACCAACAAACAGCTCACAAATAGAAATATTTTTAATCACTTGACTTCAATCAATTCCATCACACACATCTAATCAGTATCATGGCTAATCACTGTCAGACCGACCTGTTAAGGTAAATGACAGTCAAGCTTTGTGAAGTGACAACAGTGACAATAAGCATTTAAGCCAAAATGCTGCAAAAATGTATTTGATGACTTTGTTAAAAAGTGACAGTGGGTTTTATTATACATGGAACTGATTTTCCATATGGTCTCCTCTGCAGGCTTTGAAATTATTTTAAATAAACAGTACAAGAAAGAAAATTAGTGAAGGAAAGGATGAAGAACTGATGATTCAATGCCCATGTCCTACAGTCTCTGTTCTTGTATGTTGAGGAACACAGGTTTGCTCTGAAACGTCCATGCAACCAGCCCACTCAAATGTCCTGTGCATTTCTGTTGGCTATTGCCACTGTCAGCACACTGTGAGATAGTTATGTCAGTGGTATAGCACCAAATTACAACAAGTACCCATCATTACTGAAGTTAACCATGTGCTGTTGTCTCTTCTCTGCAGGTCTGGAGTCATTTGTAATAGTTAACATTACAGTTCAGGACATCAACGACAACAAGCCTGAGCTGGTTGCAGATGAGATCTTTGTCTGTGAGAATGATGTCACTAACACGGTAGGAAAAATAGTTAAACGGTGACAGTATTTATAACAGTTTATTGCTTGATGTGGATTCAGATAGACTGACAAATGTCTTTATTTGTCACATCAGTAAAGCTGCGCTCAGCCCTGCCCTTTACTTACAGCTCTTATAGTGATAGTTCAGACATGTTACATACCTGACCTTATTTAGTTTCAGTTGTTGTGTTGTTCAAAATAGGATCCACACTAATATGTGTGTCACAGCCTGGCACCAGGCCGACAGCTATACAAATTAGAATGGAGTAGCTAGCCTGTCCTGTCACCTCACAGCAAGGAGGTCTTGGGTTTGAGTCCCAGCCGACCCAATGCCTTTCTGTGCGAAGTCTCCATGTTCCCCCTGTGCCTCCGTGGGTTCTCTCCGGGTACTTCGGCTTCCTCCCGCAGTCCAAACACATGCAGCTTAGGTTGATTAGTGACTCTAAACGTTTGTCTACATGTCAAGCCTGTGATAGAGTGGTGACCTGTCCAGGGTGGACCCCACCTCTCGACCAATGTCAGCTGGGATTGGCTCCAGCCCCCCACCCCAACCCTGTTGAGCAGTATAGATAGTGGATGGATGGAGGGATGTAGTATATAGCTGGGTTAAAGATCCAATATAATAAATTTAAATTTCCATTCTAACGGGCGAACCCCAAAAATAACCATGTTTTGACAGATGAAGAAATATAATTTACATGTCAACATGTGTTACAGCACCAGTGTACTGTATTTTTTTCATCTTTCCTCAGGTCATTGGCATCTTGAGAGCCACAGATAAAGACGAGCAGCGGGCTTCCTTCACTTTCAGCCTGGCTGGTGGGAGCTCCAACTTCTCCATCAGAGACTATGGCAGTAAGTGTTTGTATGCACTGAGCATATATTTACCTTTCTTTTCTTGCTTGTTGCTCTAAACGGTGTTTGGAGGAAGCACTGGCCTCTGCACTTGTTGCTATGCAACAACTGAAACACTGTTTGAGGTACAGTGCTTTGTTGCTGAAATTTGAAATTATTTTAACTTCTCAAAGCATGCTTTGGCTCTGCCAGCCAGACGGGGGATTTACTGCTGAGAGCCTGTCTGGGACTATAAGTGCTGTCTAGAATGCACAACAGCAAGTAGTGAAAGTAATAAGAGCAAGTGGCTCGGTGGACTTGCAGATGACTCTGTGTATTGTAAACTCATCCAGGCTAAGGATGTTAAAGGAACACGTCACACACACTGCTAGTGAGCTACCTTTTACAATAAAACGGCACCATGAGGAATGTAGGGATACGCTTGTGAGTCTCACTCAGTAAAGTAGCTTATGTCATTATTATTATTATAATAAGTAAAAGTTTATTCTTAATTCCACACTACATCTACAGTCGGTAGATCCGGTGACATTTGAGAGTAAAGCTAGGTAGATACCAATGTACAAAAGTTAAATATATCAGCCTAAATAAACTGACTGTGACATAGATGATGGTGCGAGACACTTTCTTTGATTCAGACATTGATATTTAGGCACAGGTTGGTGCTCTGTTACATCAGGTTTCCAAAGCTTATTTGGGTTATTCATCTGAGGACAAAAAACGGCACAGGTCAAACAGTTTTCATCAGTTTTGATCGCACATAAAAACCTGAAGAAAGGTGTTACCAACTGTTGTAGTCAGATAATAGATGAAAGCCTTAGGTAGTCAGTTGAAAGATTTAGGTGAAGCGTTACTATGTAATTTAAATGAAACTTGAAACACCCTGACAGGAAGATAAACAGTGGGTATAAAAGGCACAGATTTTCATCATCCTTTTCCCTCCCTCCTCATGCCTGGAGGGGTTGACATGTTGAACTAATAGAGAAAAGGAAAAGGAAGATGGAGGAGAGCAAAAGCCAAGACAGATGAGGTAGAGATGGAGGAAAAGATGAAAGAAGGTCGGAGGAAGAGATCAGTAAGTGAGACAGGTAAAGCTAAACTAAGACCGTGCAAAAAAGGGGAGAGGAAGCAAACATGTCCCTCAAAACAGCCATGCTCTTAATTATGCATAACCTTTAGTCTCAATATAATTTAAACGGGCGAGTTATATGAAATATCATCCTCTGTACAGTTGTCATGGAAGGAGAAATTAGCTATAGCGACCAAAACTATTTTTGTACCAGGCGCTAAACATGTTTATTTCTGTTCTAAAGTTGGGCAATTTAACATTGGAGTCTGTAGGAACTGGCTCCCTCTTGGAGTCAACCTCAAGTGGCCATTGGTCGTTGGTTTTGGCACTTCTACACTGGCTTCATTTCTCAGCCTTGGAGATTGCTGTTCGCTTAAAACATGAAGAGAGAGGAGAGAGAAATAAAGGAATGAACAAAGAATGGTGAGACAAACAGAGCACATGGGGCAGAAACAATAAACACAAAGAATAAAAAAACTTACTATGAGGAATAAGCAAAAGTGGTCAGAGGAAAGTGGAAAGAGGAGACGAAACAGGCACAAGGATAAAAGAGTTGAAGGCAAAGAATGAAGCAAGAAGTAAGAGCGAGCAAAGAGGAGGAGATGAGAGGTTAAAACGAAAGGGGGAGAGGAGAAGAAGGGGAAGAAATTAACAGGCAAGAAGAAGAAGGTGAGGTAGGAGACATGAGGGGAAAACAAAAAGGTGGAGAGGAAGAGAGAAGAGGTGAGGAAACAGAGGAGAGATGTGGATATTTGTTTGATAAGTGCTGGTTGTCAGTGTGAACCTCCGCTCTCCCTCGTGGCTCAGGACTGCACCCCTCAAAAATCATCTGACAGCACCTCATGCCACTTAACACAACCTCAAACACTGCTTACACACACACACACACACACACACACACACACAAAGCAAGAGCTGCAAAGTGAGGGCTTTTAAAATATTTATCAACTACCAGCTCTTTAAAACTTGTAAAAAAAACAACCATGCTTTCATTACGGGATGCAAAAAGACACACACACACACACACACACACACACTCCAGCAGACAGTAAAGATTAGCTGTAAAGTGACAGGACTCAGTGTTCAGACCAGGCAGCTACACGAAGCTCGCTGCATTAATACCAGACAGACAAGTGAGAGGAGGCAGGAGGAAAACAAAGAGCAGAGAAAACGACTGATGAGATGCAGGAGCAGAGAGATGGAGAGAACAAAAGAAACATACAGTAGAAAGGACAGTGAGAAAACAGAGAAATCCAGAAGGACAAGAAAGGGATGAATCCAAACAATGAAGGGACAGAGATGAAAAGAGGACAGAAGCTGTTTTCATCTTTTATTCAGTTAGTTAAGGCTTCATCATTCATGTTGTCTTGTACACAATACCCAGAAACCTGATCCCAGTTATACCAAATAAACCTCATCTGGATGTCAGACATTGAAATGTTTGCTAAACTTTTGTCATTTTCTCACCTGACTGGCAGTTGGGAAGTTTGCTGTCATGAAAAGATGCTGTGGTCTTGATTTTGACAGAGCTCTAAGTAGCTCTGTGTGGATCCGTCTGTCACCAAAGCCTTTTTTTCTTCCAAAGGAACTTTCCCCTGTGGACAGGAACCTTTAGCAGGACATAGTTCCTCTACCTGCATTAACATTTTGGTAATGCATGATACATCAGTGGGCTAATTTATTTAATCGTCCCAGGCTCTGCTGTAAAAATCCAAATCACAATATGCCCATGGAGCATTTACCCCAGAGAAAGTTCTTGGACTTTAGTTCCAGGGAGACAAAATTACCAAGAACTTTTGAAACGAACCTCAAGCGTTTGTGTGGATCCGCCCCTTTGTGGTGCGGTGTGGCCTTTATACAATGGAGATGAATGGAAATTGATTTGTGTTCTCAAGCAATGGCAACATTAAGAAAATTCAAGAAAAACATCTTTCCAGCAACACTGTGTCCATTACTCTGGATATTCCACAGGACACATTGCGCTCTGTTTTTATCAAAACAAATGTTTAAGAAAAAAGTTCTTTTGCTATTGATAATTGGTTCCTTTAATGAAGACTGGTTCAACAAAGAAAACACAAACCTTAATAGCTTGCTCAATAAAGTGGACATGCTAGAGGCAGGAAACACAGCCCATTAATCTGAAATTAAAGCCTTTGTTAAACAAAGTTGTTTAGTTTAATAGGGCCACAGTGGAAAAGCACTTCAGTACAGTAAGACCTCTGAAGGCTGGATTCAGAGTTAATTTCAGAAAATATGAATCTATTCTCTACAGATATTAAATCATTCAGCTGAGTGCTTAAGAGATTTACTGTAGCTCCTTTCACAAGACCAATGTGATTTATATTCAAAGGCCAGTACGAACAAATGTCAGCAACACTCATCTTGTTTTTAATTTAAACTTGCCCTTAAACAAACGCAGATGTTTCTCTCTGAGTTAAACTGAGTGTGTCTAGGCACTGTGCGTTTCAGTGCTCAGAGGGGCCTTTCCTGCCATTGTGTTCACTGAAATTCCTCTAGTGGTTCGATATTGTTGAAAAAAGGTCTCCCCATCGTCTTAGCAGGAAACGTCTGCCTGCCACGAATTTAACTTACGGTTGTCACGGTTGTGGAGGAGACGTAGCTCTGGTGTGCTCAGTGTGTTTCAGATGACTAGCTAAAAGCTTGATGCAGGTATTGGAGCATTCACATCACTCCCGGCACCATGTAGAATCCACTATTGTGGGTTATTTTTAAGGTGCTGCCATTATCTATAACCCTAAGTGACTCAAATCCAAAATGCAGCAAACTGACAGATAATCACAAATGATCTGTCTGCCTTTATGTAACAACTCTCTTCTTGCTGTCATATCTCACATCTGCTTTGATTTGGGGAGCATGGCGCTGTATAAATAGACTTTGTAGACTTTAAAGACTGAGCAGATGAACATTAGTTATGCTTGAGCAGAACGAGGTGATGAGTCAGATAAATTAGACACAGAAAGGAGAGGTAACTTGTGTTGCAAAGGTGGTTGTAATATTTTGTATACTCACTGTGTGTATTAATATCCTTCCTCATAAAGATAGCACAGCAGGCATCATTGTGAAACAGGGCCCCTTCAGTATGGATGACCCCAAGGATCACAGCGTGGATGTGCGCATCAGTGATGGAGGACAAACCAGTATCACCAGAGTGGCAATCAAGGTCTGTGGGGCTTTTAATGTGTGTGTGTTATGTACTGAACTCAGTGAAATGATTACAGCACAGAAAAAAAAAACATTTCAAAATGTATTTTCAGTAACATTTTACCTAATCAAAATCACCTGGTTTGCTGCTGTACAACTTTGCATAACTACTTATTGATTAGACAGACATACAGTACATGAACCTTTCTTGACTAACCAATGAATTCACCACTGTGCTGACCGAGTTTGTCCTGCCTGTTGCAGTTGTGTCGTTGCGATGCCAGGCGGATTTCCATGGAGTGCAAAGCTGAAGCTCAGAGGATGGGTGTGAGCGTTCATGCCCTGGTAGCCATTCTGCTTTGCATACTGACCATTCTGGGTATGTGCCATTTCTATCTTTCTTTTCTTTCTTTCTTATTTTTTTTCTTTCCACATTTCACATCTTTGGTGGAAACATTTATTTCTGAGGCTTCCTGCACAGTTCTTCTCAGATATCACCTGCAGTGTTTTCACTGGGGCTGAGATAATCCATTACTGTTTCTAAGAGTCTCTGCACATTCCAACACATTCTCAGCTGCCAAAAGAGACATTCTTCCTAAGAGCGCCTGGAGAACTGTTCTTTTCTGTTTTTCATCTTCAAGAGAACCATAAAGGGGAACACCATGGATTTCACACATCAAAGTCTGTTTACAACTGTTGGGGTGTTCTACTGCATATGTGAAACAAGTTGTATTAAACCTTTTGGTGCCCCAGACCTGCGTCTGGTGTTCAGGCCTGTGCCGTGTTGAACGTGATGCATACAGGAAGTGTCACTAGGTCCCAGTAAGATTGGCCTGGTGACTTTTATGGAAAGTGACAAACATGTTCAGATGCCATCAGATTAAAGGGAAGGAGTGTATGTGTGAAAGGTGATTTTGTGTGCAAACATAACCAGATCATAATAATACTGCTGCCTTGTTATGCTAATGTGAAGGTGTCACGACAGTAATAAATAGATCAATGAACTTTTTCTGTGATTTAGCAGAATTGTTTAATTGCATTTAGAAGCTGAAATCGAATTGGTTTAGATTAGTGTCTTAGTATTCTGTGACATCATTGTTGGATGTGGTTTTAACAGCGCACACGTCTGGCCACAAACATGATTAATGTTGAGTGTGGTCAGATACGAAAGACAAGCACAGTGGGCAGGGAACCAGACATGTTCAGTTTGGCATTAATTTGCCCTTTAAAGGGGTTTTTAAAACAGTATTTCTTGTTCCTTGTGTGTTGTTTGGGAAAATACACAGAACTTTGTTATTATTTATTTTTTCTAGTTGGAAGTTATAAAATCTGTTGGAAGTAAATAAATCTGAATCACAATCAAACATGTGTTCCAAATATCCGTGAAACTCAAATGCATCACTTCCTGCACGGCTCCGGGTTTGTTTAGAATGTATCCAACCCCTTTAGGCAGGCATTTGTGAAATGTTGTGTAGTTTGAATTGAGCAGAAAATGGTGGTAGATTGATTTTTATAAAATGATTTTCACCTCAAGTCTTGGTTGTTTTAGCGTCTGTTAACAAACAGGTGTGGAAGACTTTGTTAAACCCTGAGCTTTTATATTCTCAGAGGAATTCATGAAGGTGGCATCAAGATGCAAAAAGGCTGCACTGTGATTGTGGCGTGTGCAGATGTACCTGCCCTTGCTTTGTAATAAGTAAGTTGTGTTTTGTGGGGAACGCTTCCCCTCCTGGTGTTGTTGCTTTTATGAATAATGTAATGGTGGATGTGGAAATAATGCCTGCAGTTGTGAGTTCAGTATTCTCTTTGATACCTTCACCCCTCGCTCCTTTCTTTCTGGGGAAAAAGGACACTTGTCATGCTGGATGTGAGATAGTTGGCCAAACGAGATGGATCTGGGTTGAGAAGTGCTGAGGAAGAAAGAGAAGGAGAAGAACTTAAAGGTGAAGAGGGAGGGAGGACTGACAGTTGGAAAAACTTACATATAGGAAGTGAAGAGAGGTGAAACAGGTAGACAGACCAGAGGTGTGTGAGACAGAGACGCGAGGTGGAATGAGACCAATGGAGTGACAGAGCGAGACAGAAGGAGGTTAAAGCTGAAGAGGAGACTTGTGGGAAAAGCAGCAGAAGAATAGGAGGGGTAATGAGGAGAGTTTATCTGCTCTTTAGGTGCCGTCTGCTTATCAAACACTGCCAAACACTCAACCTATTAACTATTTACTGTCCCAGTAGCATTCTCTCTCTCTCTCTCTCTCTCTCTCTCTCTCTCTCTCTCTCTCTCTCTCTGCTCTCTCTCCTCCTTTCTGTCTCTCTTCCTCTTTATCAAACACCCACAACGCAGGCCAGATTAACTATTTAATGCACTTGTCATTATCTACCAGGGCCCGAAGCAATTTACCATGCTCTCTGTTCACAGGCACATTTTCTCACAGGAAGTCGGGTTTGACACATGAAAAGTCATTTTTCTCAGTCATTTTTCTACAAAGAAAAGGGCTTCTTCTTCTTCCCTTTTCTCGACCCTCTAAGTCTGATATCTCCAGAGCTTATTAAACTGCAGAGCATGTGTTGTAAAAGATTAATCTGTTGGTTTCCCATGCAAACTTAAATTAGTCTCACTCGCCCTCAACTAAAAGGCACGGCTAATGCTGCCCATCCCCTGAGAGAGAAAGAGGTTCATATCTGGACCGAGGCTCGAGGCCTAATCTCAGGTCAAATGAATACTTCCTCTCCTCCTCCTCTGTTGTCTTCAGCATTGATTTCTCCCTTTTCTCCACTTCTTCCATTTCTCATTCATTGGCTAATCTCCTTGTTTGTTTCTCTTTTCCATATATTCTGTCTCTTTTTTGCTTCCTTGTTCTCATCCCTCTTCTCTACAGCTGAAATGCAAGGGACAAACAAGAAAAACATTACACTGGAAAAACAAAGGATCAAGGATTACTGTTGTCATTTTCTTTAGTATTATAACCTTTATGAATTGACTTGTTCACTCTGGGACATTGCAAAAGGTTTTTCAAACTCTCCAAACCCCAGTTTTCCAATAATTTTTTAAAAATTTCTTTCTCTTCTCTGCACAAACAGTTTGTTTACTATGTTCTACTGAAACATCTCATAATTCATGTTCTACCTTTTGTCCACTTTAGTTTTTTCTCTCTCCTTTCTTGTTTTTTTGTATCTACTATGTTGTTCAATCAATGCTCTTTTCTGAATTTCGAGACAAACAAAATCTGTGTATGCTGGTGAAGGTTTATGTTGGGCTGTTGAGACTTGGTAAAGTATCTTCTCATGTGAGATAGCTTCAGAACGTTCTTTACTTTACAACAAAATACATCGTGTTTTCTGATCTGCCGCCCTGTCAGCGGCTCAACCTGCTTATCACTGCAAACCGCTATGATGGAACCAACACGTCTCAGATTTCACACTGCTATGGTCACACTTTTAAGTTTAGGCACAAGCTAACTAGATTTGGAACAGAGGGAGATGATTGTTTGGTGTTTGGTAGGAAATAAGAAACCGTCTTCCATTCACTGTCTGTCATGGGCCTCTAACAGTGTCGGGCTACTTCCATCTTTGGCCCTTGACAGACACAACTCATAATTCCTACAGATGTTATGGATCTTGACTCTTGCCTGCATGTCCTTGTTATTATCTCTTGTCCTGTCTCCCCTCCCCTCTTCACCCTTTCCTCTCTTTTTCCATTGTTCATTTCATTGTCATCTGTCAGATCTGACTTTCCTTCCCTTTCCTTTCTTTCACATTCCCCTCCACCTTGTTTTCACATTCTAATTTCCATGTCCTGAATCTTTCATCCTGTTTCTTGTGCTCCGCTTTCTTTTATCTCTCTGTTCAGAGTTAGTCCGTCTCATGTTGAGTAGACTCATCTGAGGGTTTCATGCTGAGGACAAACACCTCAGACACCTTAAAACATCCACTCCCCATTTTCTCCCCTCATTCATGCTTTGGTTTCTAGTCCCAGTCGTTTGTTAGTGCCCCATTTTTCTCACTTGTTTCCTGCCCCCATTCTTATTCTGTTTTATGTTTTCTGGCCTAATTCCCTCTCCTGTTTTACATTTGTAGAACTGTTTGTCCAACATGAAAGGTGGCAGCATAATCTGTTCCACAGTGAATGTCTTCAGTTTTATCAGGCCTTTTTAATTTCTTTAACAGATGCAGCATGCAAAGGAGGTTTTACACTTTACATCTTTTTATGCACTGTGGCCTTGATACATTCATTTCTTTTATGCATCTACTTAATGCCCTAATATATTGGTTTTCTTACAATGCCTTTTGCTTGCAGCTTTACTCTTGCAATGCCAGACTTCATAGTAACAGAACTTGTAGACTGGGGCATTTTCATGTCCAGCTTTTGTCTTTTGCAGTGGATGTGTGGCTGTTGCATTGGCTGTCATTCACTGCCACTGGATGTGCTGCCAAAGAGGATTCACACCTCAAAAACCTCCAAACGTATTCTAAATAAAGTTCCATCTGCTGTGTTTTTAGTCATAGTGATCCTGTTTGTGTTGAGGAAACACTACCAGAAGGACTCTCTGACCAGTATGAAGAACAGTGGGGAGATCCATGAGCAGCTGGTCACGTACGACGAGGAGGGAGGAGGAGAGATGGACACTAACGGGTGTGTAGATGAAAACAAACTCTGTCGCACTGCCACTGAGATTTTTAATCTTTTTTTCTAACACTAACTTCAGTGAGAACTCACCAAAGCTAAGGATAATCTTATTATGTATTATTAAATGCACAAGGGAAAAACACTCATAAAATACAAATTATTAACAACACAAATTAAATTCAGATCTGAGCTGTGAAATTTAAATATTCTGCTTCACATGAATAGTTCTGTATTCAGAGTTATTAATGTTTGAAAACTGAATTTT